GGGCTACAAACAAGCTAATGTTTCTGCCTCTTGTGTGTTCATATAGGAGGTATAGAGTCTGCTGCCGCCCAGTAGGCCTACCCCTAGGCCTGAGGCCAGCAACACTAACTGCGATGCTAAATGTCTTGCTTATAACGTAATGAGCAACATGTTTCTTCTTTTTACCCTCAATGGGCTTCTCACCATGATGCCTGGCATACATTATGTCCCTTTCTGCAGAGTAACATGAATGAAGATCTTACCTGAAGCTAGGCTAATGAGAAGAGGGTGACCATTGTAATGAAGATAAAGCTGTTAAAATACATCTTTTGCATTCATGATCATATTAAGAAACACCACAAGGAAGGCTTTTAGTTTCAATGCTTGGCTAAGCAAAGGAACATCCATAGTTGTCATGTTTTCTATTGGAAAATATTATGCTACAGGATGACAGGTAACACAAACTTTCTATATCTGAAAAAAGTGTTCATTGAAGTCTTATTGTCGATATTGTTTGTGCAAAACTGTAACATTTGTGCAAGCAGATAACTGTAATTTCTGAACAATGGGCCCCAACCTATATATCAAAAGTAATTTCCCTCATTTGAAAAAACCTTAACGCGTGCCAGTTTATTGTTTAGAAACATTCAAGTGAGGAGTATAAAATAACACATCCAATTAATTGGTTTCCCGTAAACACAGTGTCGAAAAACCTCACCCTGATTATTAAAATAAACACTTATAAATGAATGTCAATTACTGAATAATGACTATGTGCAGTTTCAACAATAAGATGTCAAAAATACTTTCCTACAAACATTTTTTTATTGCAACACAATGGAAACCCCACCATACTATATTTATCAAGCAATGGATATCATTCTTCCATGACCTACTAATCTCAGAGCTGTCAATCGCATCTGGTGACAAGGCTATAGGGAGAACATTAGAGCAGGGGTGTCCAAACTAGGGCCAATGGGCCAACTGCGGCCCATGGTCCATTTTTAATTGGCTTGAAGGAGGGCTGGACTGGGACAAATCTGCCCTGGCGTTTTGGCCCAGACTGGCCCACAACAATCAAACAAAAACACATTAGTGGCTCCTGACTAAAGGAACATGTTTACTATCAGTGCACAAAAGACTACCAACATACATGTACCTGAACACGCCATCAGAACAAAAATTAAATGATGATGAAGTAGTGTCAGCCCAAAGGGCACGTCGTACCACCGGGAAAGTGCCCGGAATGCGACATGCAGTCCAGCCCTGGCCCGAAGCAATTTGTTTTAAATGTTATGGAATATGGCCCACACATAAATGTTGCACTTGACTGTATGGTAATTACTCCACTATATGGAGCTACTGTCTTGAACAAGGCAGCCTCTCCACAAAACAAGATGAATCAAAGAAAATATATTGCCGCGGATGACCAGAAATGGCAGAATCAGAGAAACGCAAGTTAGTGCAAAAAGTTTCAGACACAGTGGGAAAATGAATATTTCTTCATAGAAGGGGAATGTGTCTGTTTGATTTGTAAAGAAACTGTGCCGTGCCAAAATAGTTTAATATACGACGACACTATGAAACCAAATTATCAGACCTACACGTCCTACACTGGTGGCGAGTAAAAACAGAAAGTTAGGCAAATGGTAGCTAGCCTGCTATCTCAGCAACAGTATTTTTGAAAATGCCAAATAGCCAGCTTCGAGGTTGCCCAAAACGGAAAAACCTTTCACAGTGACTTCCTAAAACAGTTCCTCACTAAAGACGCAGGGAAAATGTAACCAGAAAGAATGCATGAATTCAACAATGTTAGCATGTCCAGAAACACAGTTGTGCGGCGAACCGAAGACTTTTCAGCTAACTTAAAAGTTTCAGATAAAGCGTGTGCTTTTGATTTTTACTCGATGGCATGTGATGAGAGCACATACACTGTGCAGCTGGGGGGACTTGACGATACATTTGCATTACGGAAGAGCTACAAAGGAATAACCTCTAAGGTGTGCGCAAAGGTGCAATAGAGTGGAGGTGAGGCTGTTAAAATGCACTCTATCATCCACCTAGAAGCCGTCTGAGCAGAGACTGTCCATCTCGGCGATGAGATGAACAATGTTGTGAAAACTGTCAACATAATTCGAGCATGAGGGCTCTAACATAGTCAATTCAATAGTTCCTATCTGATGTTGATGCTAAATTCGGGGACCAACTGTACTATTCGGATGTGAGCTGGCTGAGTCATGGCTCCATGCTGGAGCGGTTTTATTCCCTGAGATCAGAAATCGACCCGTTTTTGAAAGAATTGGACCAACCTCTTCATGAGCTGACCGACCCTCTATGGTTGGCAGACTTGGCATTTTTTGTTGATCTTACTGATCATCTTAACAAACTGAACAAGAGCCTACAAAGGCAAAGACCAGCTTGTTTTGTGTTTTCTTTAAGCATACTCAAAGTATACTTGACCTACTTCTGATTGATTTGCTAACTGTACCTCCAGTGAGTAGTGAGTGTTTTTTTTCTTTGTGGCCCTCGGTGAAAACAGTTTGGACCCCCCTGCATTAGAGGCTATTAAATGAGATGCTGATCTGGTTGTATCATTCATGTAAATTAAGATTGAACATACAGTATATGCACACCTTGGTGCATTGGTAGATGATTAGGACTCAATGTCAATCCAGTTCAAACAGATGAAAGGTTATGTAAAAAATGTATTCTGTATGTGATGTGTATGAATGGTTATGCTAAAATAGTAGATAGATTAAAGTGGACCTATCATGCTATATTTAAATGATATATTGTAGGGCCATACCTATATAAGGTATATTTATACGTTTCTGTTTTCAAAATACCAAACAGATCATGCATTTTAGCCATGCCTCATTTCGCTCTATGTGCTGTTTGCTGTCTACGGGTCTGATTCTGCTGACCACGCCCCCCTGCAGGAGAGGGGAGACGTGCTCTGATCAGCTGCTGGGCTGTCAGAAGAGGGGGAGAAAAAGAGATCTCCGTCCTCCGTGTTTTATTATATAGAGTCGTTATTCATTTGTTTTAAAGCTCAATAAATAACAAAGAAGACGTTAGACCGGCACTTTTCAAATTTTGTCCGGAAGATTTAAACTTTAACGAACATCTTGACCGGCGAAACAAACTGAAACTGAAACTCTGCCGCACGGTCCCCTCGTTCCTTGGAAGAGGCGGAGAGGTGGGTGTTTGTCATCTGCTGGTGGACTAACCGGAGAGAATTACAGTGCTTGCCTCGACGGGGAGGGATTGCATTGCAGCGGGAGCAAACGCTTGCCTCGGGGAGGGAGAAAAAAAGCCACAGCGGAGAATAAACAGAAGGGTAACCATGGTAACTATGGGCGGGAAGTCTTCTTCGCTGCTTTTGTGGCAGACTACAGCGCCACTTACAGGCCTGGCATATGTACTACAGCGTCTCCAGTGCTTTCGAACGGCAATGGCCGTGGCTGTCTCCTCCTGATTGGTGGAGTTGGCCCAATAGCCGTAGCGCCACCGTCCTGACGTCAGGACAGTGTTCAAATCTGGATCAGTTTTTATCAGATGCGTTGCAGCCCCTTTTTTAGAGATTTGGGTATGGAGGAAAATAGAGAGGGTTGTGTTTTCTGACACTTGGTGAGTTCCCTGGAATACCGGGGACACATATTCATGTATAAAAGACGTACAAAAGTGCATTTTGCATGAGAGGTCCCCTTTAACTCAGACGATTGCTAACAAGCATCAGGTATGATTTCTGTGAAATGGCATGAGGAGTGGAAAAGGGGAGGGACGGGGTGGTGTGGGAAAGGGACTCCCTATCGTTTTCTTTCTTTGTTTTTGTCTTTCTTATTGTGTTATCGTTTACAAGATTTGTATCTGTGTTTATAGAGCTTTGGCAACTAGAAAACAATAACAAGTTGGTCACAAAAAAAACAAAGGAAACAAAGGGACAACTAAAAGTGGCTTCATGTGACCCATGAGCTAAAAATAACTTAACCGTCCCTAAATCTTAAATAAATAACGTGTATACTATTTTTAAATAACCAATCCATAGTGCAGAGAAAGGGAGGGACATAATGAAAGTGATTTTAAAGTTGACATATATGAGACACATACTGTGGACCATTGAACAATTGAATAAGAAGTAGAGCAATTCTAAATAGTCAGATAACCGGTATATTGCTTTTTAATTAACAGACATTGTGGGGATTTGTTTTTCAAAGTGTTTTTATTTCGTTTTTCTTATAACCATTAATATCATGCATTTGCTCATTTATCTTATTTGGATGAGATGTTTCTCTTATTGGAAGATATATAAATGTGTGTATTTTGTTGATTACCTTCTTTCTTTTTTAATCATTGTAATCCTCTTGGTGCTTTACGTTGTCCCTCTATTAACTTTGATTATATGTTACATTGGTGTACCATGTCCATTTATAACTTTGATTGAGCTGTAGATACTTAATGTCCATAGAGATTAATTGTTGGACTCCTTCATATACAAAACTATGCCTCCTTTCTTTCACAGATTTTCTGACTGTTCACTGGGATGTGAAAAACTGCCCTTGAAAAACTATATTCCACATTGATTGTATCAAACCTCAATAATGAATTAGTCTTTCACCCATGTAAAAGCAAAGACACACTTTTAGACAGTGAGACAATGATTCAAACCACCAATACCCTAAAAACATTGACTATTGTAAGAGTCGGGAGTCATCTGATAATTTATTCCGGCAAATTATTCAGACCTCCTAATTGACCTAACCGAAGTTATTGAGTCTATGTAAGTTTGCTGCTTGGCTCAGATCCACCAACGTCAGCAAGATCTGACCTCTATTAACTCCCAGAAGAACCAGGTTCAATTAACTGCTGTTTCAATTCAGACGACCCCCTAAATCTGTTTAAGCGATCCCGAAGGATTTTGATATCAGTAAATGAGGTGTGGCCCTACCAAAGTGTGAGTGTGGCAGTGTGCAATCTTACCTTTCAAGCAGGAGAGGAGAGCGCAGATGTCTTTTAAGTTGTCCCAATCCAAAAGGTGGGATCAGTTTATTTGAAGAAAAATAGGTCCAAACTTATACAGGGTTTTTACCTTCTCTCGTTACAACATTATAATCATACTAAACCTATTATGCTGTGATCATGTTCTAATTCACAGTTTTACATTTATTACCATAATTTGTAACTTCAACTGTCCAATTCAGTTGTGACATTTAAAATCTCCCGATAGAATTTAGAGGCATTTCCTCATAAAAGACCGGTGATAATAAAAAGCACATTAAAACTTTCATTCACCAAATCAATTCACATCAATTCCATACCTTTTTTCCGACACAGGTGGCGGGACTAACATTCCCATACCTATCCGCATGAATTCGGAGGAAGATTCCTCACAGATGGCGGGCCTAACACTTCACACCTATATTCCGACATAGGTGGCGGGACTAACATTCAAAAACCCATACCTATCCGCATGAATTCGGAGGAAGATTCCTCACAGATGGCGGGCCTAAATTTCACAAACACATCACTATCATTCCACTCACAAACACATCAAGTCATTCCACTCCTTCAACCCAGAAATTCACTCCGCATTCAACCAAGAAATTTGAGAGATATTTACCAAGTTTGAGAGAACCTTACCGAGAGCAAAAACCCAGCTCTCAGGGAGAGAGCGTTACAGAGAGAGAGTATACCAGGGGATCCCCCCCCTCTCTCTCACTCTCTCCAAAAAGAAAGTTCCTCCACATCTGCCAGTGTCTTTATGCTCGAAAACAGGATAGAAAAACCTAAAGACACCTCCTCCATACCCATATTTGTGGAAACTGGGCATGGCCTCTGATCTAAAGAACTGGACATGACCAGACATATTCTATGGCTCTGGCATAAGACACACCTTCCCATGTTTGTGTAAAAAGGACATGACCCCTACTCTGCAGGACTTGCAAAATATTATTCTTGGCTATGACATAACCACTGTTTTGGGGCCTCAATGTATTTCTCCTTAAGTCAGGAGCCCCCCTCCCTGTGTACTGATGTGAGGGGAGAGAGAAGAAACTGCCTCTTTCTTATCAGTGACACCCATAAACCATTATAGGCCTTACACACTCAATTTAACACACCACTTTGTTTATACTGTAAATATAGAAAATCATAACATATGAAACATTTTCATCGTGGGTTATACAAGAATATAATTGACTATATTTGATTATAACTAACTTTCGTTTTAATTATTCAACCTAATATGAAGATCTCAACACTATAGTAAACATTACACAGTATCTGATAATCTTTCTTATAATCAGAGAAGTTCAAAAGGGCGCTTCTGTGTTTAGTCTGACTCAAAGGATGGCAGGGGCATGTATTTAGCTCTGGACCTCCTTGAACGGTAGATTACTGCTCCGCATACCAGGAAGCAGCCGGCAACAAGGAAGATGTTCATGCCAAGACTCATGCTCGGACCAGATACTGAAATGGAAGAACAAGAAAAAGACAACCATTACCTTCATATACATATATTTGTTTCATACTAAATATGGGATTATTCTGAATCCTATCCCTATATGAATCAAACTACATAATTACAGTGTATTGAATAATCTTATGGCTTTACTACTACTGGGCATATTTAGTGAGCTGCATAACCAGGAGGAGAACCCGGATCCTAGAGAACATTTGTATAATATCTATGATAAAGAACAAAGTCCGCGGAGGAGAAAAGGTTGGTTTGCATGTATGGGTTAATGAAGAGGGCTTTCAACCAATATACCCCTGTCCGTGTCCCGTAGTTAAACCAAAATACAACATGTTATTTCAACTTACGAAAAGTACTTAACTTATGTATCTTACCTAAGTTATATAACAAACAAAACCATGATATTTTGCAAAAGCAACAAATGAATACTCTGAGCACAATTTTGAAAATGTTACCATTTCACAACATAATGATTGTGATAACAGCCATTTTTTTGGGCTGATTGAAATGGGTGGTGCTATACTGTATGTGGGTACACTTGTCTGCCAGTTTACTAGGGACACCTATCGTCGTAAAGTTCAGTCTTGGTTGAATTTGTTTGGTTGAAACTATGTAGGATGTAGTTAGTGCACTGGAAAAAAAATGCTGGTCCAAAAACAAGTTAAACAATAATGAAAACAAGCCGGTTTCACTTGAAATAAGTAAAAAAATCTGCCAATAGAACAAGTGAAAAATTGCTTGGTAAGATTTCTTGAAATAAGATGGGATATTTAGATAAATCAGATCTTGTAATTATCTGGGAGAACTAATATTGAACTATATTTGACCAGAATCAGGAAATGTTGTGTTAAAATATAACCCACAAATGCACAAAAGTTTTCTGTTTTCTAATGAATAAAAAAAAAGAATGTGTTTCATCTGAGATACAACTCAAAATAAGATTTTTTGACTCAACAAGATGATTCATTGTCTAAAAACAAGACCTATATTAGGTGTAAAGACATATTCTGATAAAAAATACTTGGCAAGATTTTGAGTTTTTGTAGTGTGCAGCTGTGTATGTGGACACTTACCTTTGCTGTCTGAAATTTTAGCCAGGCGCAAAGGTCCCTGGGAAATGGAGTGGCTGGAGGACTCGGCCCCAGCTTCCCTTCTTGTTCTGCCTGAGTTGGATCGGATACATCCCTGCGAGCATCTGGTTCCTGGAACGCCAGTCTGACACAGGATGACGGTGCAAGTGATGTACACCTGCAGACAGATGGAGGTAAAGTCAGTCAACGTCGTGAAAAGTCATTTGTACATTCTTAACAAAGTATAAACGTATAAATAGGTACAGTAACAATTCCTAATATCCTAAAATAAGCTTGTCTCGAAGTCAGTTTTGTTGTTAAATGCCTGGAACGTTATGTTTGATGACAAAAAATACATCAGTAAATACCCCACTGGTGAATAAAAAAACAGCGGTTTCTAAAGTGTCTGAAAATGTCATCATTCCCAACATTAGCCGCCTTTAGGTTAGCGGTGGTGACGTGAAGTCATGTGACCGTGCTAGTTCCCTTATAGAGAGGCGAAGTCCCTCCCTTTCCGGGGGACCTCCATGGGACCTTATTTAGAAAAAAAATTGTATTGAAGTCAATGGCGAGAGAAAAGTTATCTTTCGATCCCGTTTGAATTGTGTCACGAATTACACATATGATGTTTGTCAATTTAAAAGATCATTTTGCAAGTAAAAAAAAAAATTTTTTGCAGTAAAACTGTGAAGTAAGACTTTTTTTGTGTGAAACCGCTCAATGAACTACATCTCTGGTCTTGCACAACAACACACGTCACCAAGATGGCCGTCACTACTGTCTTGCCAAAAAAGGGATTGACTACCCTCACTATCACCACAATGAAACACGTCCTGAAGAATGTCATTCAAAGCTGCCTGCCTGCCTTCCTTCGATTCTCCCTGAACTGTCTGATCTTTTTAATGTTCAATGTTAACCATTTGTGCAGATAGCATGAAGTAGAAAAGATCGCCGATGCTAATGTAGCGTTAGCGTTAGCATGTCTCCTTCGAGGGCATCCGGGCTTAAACGGTGTATTATAGAATGATCACCCCGGTGTGACAGTACTCTTCAAAGGGTTCACGAAATATGACTACTACACTTACTGTTTAACATTTTGGGTTAGTTAATGTTACTTCATGTTAAGGCTAATACAAATGACAAGGCTAAGGCTGTAATGCTAACTAACGTGCTTGCTACTAGCTAGGTAGCTAACTTGATCCAGCCACTCCTGGTTCTTTCATCAGACGGGAAGCGAAAAAGAACGAGCAAGACCCATTGCTGGTATGATTACCACCTAGTACAAAGCACACAGGCATCTTGTTAAAGTTATCTTATCTTAGCTATCTCTTATATTTAGTGGAGGAAAACAATTATGACATCACTAATGCGACTCTGGGATTTGTAGTCTTTCGAGTTGCGTATTTTTCATAGTCTTATATTTCAACAGTTTTACGACAAACTCTGACTTTTTTGACATGGAAATAATTTTTTAAGATTGACAAACATCATATGTGTAATTCATGGCACAATTCAAACGGGATCGAAAGATACGTTTTCTCTCCCCATTGACTTCAATACATAACTTTTTTCGAAATAAGGTCCCATGGGTCGGAAGTAGATGGGCGGGACTTTGCCTCTCTATAGCCCAACATTAGCCGCCTTTAGCTTAGCGGTGGTGACGTGAAGTCATTTGACCATTCTGTAGTTCCTTTATAGCCAAACGTTAGCTTTTTATTTAACCGTGTAAGTCTCATAACAATTAACTTTCCACGAATATTCCAAAATCCGATGGAGAATTCCCATAGTTTTTTGTTCAGGTGACCAGTGCACTGCCAATTTCCGTATTGGCAAACAAAAATACATGCCATCCCTGCACCACTATATGCAGACTACAGTACAAGTCATTCACAATAAGCACAGTATATAACTTTGGTTACTTTCCTTATCTATTGCTCTGGTACAAATACTTATTCCAAATAAATGTCCACTTATATTTTTTGCTAGTTCCAACGTAGACGTATAATATTTTGACAAAATACTTTTGTGTTTCAGAAAAAGTAACCTTACCGATTCATGAGCACCGATGAACTCAAAAGCCTCCATTCCAAATCTGAAGTGAGTCTTGGGGCTAGGGTAGATTGTAACTGTGTCGTCCCTCATGCACCTGTTACATAATGTTGATACAACGGTTTATTCGAATAAATGAAGGCATTTCTCATATGAATCAAACAAATGCCTCTTTGCCTCAAATACCCTACCCGTTTTCGATGATGGTGTAGCTGATTTGAGAGTTGGCGTTGTCATATGGAGACGCCTTGCAGGTCTCCACAAACAGCTCAGTGTTGGGGATGGAGGTGGTCGCTTCGATCTGCATGAACATAATCTGTTTGAGGTACACCTCCACTGGGTAAACGTTGGAGTCAACTTGTTTTTGGAAACGCTGGGTTTCAAAAAATTCAAACTGGAATGTGAATGCACCGAATCCCTTCTCTTGGAAGGCGTACGGGTTTTTGTGCGTGAATCCCAGGGTCAAGTTGGTTTGCTTTGGATAGCAGCAGAAGAAGACGATCTCAACGTCGTGCTGCCTGGTAATTACATTATCCGGGTTAGCAGATGTGATCTCGTTCTTGAAGATGATGTTGTCGTCTTGCTCCTAAAAATGGAAGATCATTTAATTAAGAGAGGAAGCAACAGTTGTTACCACTACAAGACATAAGTAGATGGTTTTATGAGATACAAATACATAGATTTATATACTCTATAAACTATTCTCCAGCTAGTAGAGTTAGCACTTATTTAGGTGTCTGAATGAAAATCAATCAGCTTTTGCCAACATGAATAAAGTATTCTGACCACAAGGCATGCTGCATTTAGTTCACTCTCTTGAGGAAAATATATTTTAACTATTGGGGCTCAATCATGAAAACTAAAAACTTGACTAAAATTGGGTAGTTGTGCTAACCAAGAACTTAGTTTTCTTTCTAGCAAAACTACTCAAGTGGCAAGTAATGTAGGAATATTAGCCACAACAAAGATTGAGTAAAACCTTTTGATTTATGATGTGAAGTTGCTGTTTTGGAGGTTTGTGTTGTTTTGTTTCTGTTACTTGTGATGTTATTGTAAGTAACCGAGAAGATACGTTTTCTAGACTCTTTCTACCCCCCTACACTCCTATTTGGAGCATTGTTAATTTGACAAAAAGGGACAAAATGCACAATAAACCATATTCCATATTTCCTTTTGGCCAAGAAAAATGGTGTTGCGAAGGTCTGATATCGTGATAGCCCTTGCCTAACCGTTTTTGTTTTACATCAAGCAAAGAAATATGCGGATGTGTTCAGCCAAATGTCCTTTTAAGAAAAGCGATAGAGAGTTTTTTGTGTACCTCTACAAAGGTTCCACATGCATTTAGCGACATGATCGCCACCAGGTGGGTCGTGTTGGAGCGTGTTGCCAGGTCGCAGGAAGAATCACCCAAGGCTTTCAGATGCAAGTTGTTCTCATGGTGTCTGATAAGGTAGGACTTCTCCACTTCCACCGTCATTGTTGTTTCACTGCATGTCACTTTGGTCTCTAGAAATCGGTAACATGTATTTATTTTTTTTCGTCATATAATCAGTGTAAATCTCCAGGCTTTAAAACTTGACATCCATCCACTTAATATCAAATGTATTGGACATAATCATGGTCTACATAAATGATCAATGGAAGAAAAAGTTAACTAACCATAGTGTCCGACATCTACAATGACACAGCGTAGCTCGGATTGAAAAACTCGGCCCCATCTTGAAATGAAAAATAGATAGTATAAATTATATGAATGGTTTTATCAGGGAATTTCTCAATTGAAAATACACAAAGTAGGTATTTTTTTTAAATATTGAATGGGTGCAAGTGTAGTATTCTTATTTAACCTGATTTACTTAAAACTCACTCGTCAATTGCTTCAGAAACAAAGCAAATAGGAAAATGGTCGTTCAGTTCATTTTCAGTTGGTGTCCATTTTATGATATATTCTTCCGCAGAGATATTCTCTTTCGAAATGCCCATTGGTCCAGTAACAATCAAGTTATGAATCCTAGAAAGATAGAGAACACTATATTATAACTTGAAATGGGAAACATTATTTGTTTAATAAAGGTAAAATAAGTAATTTCTCATAAATGAGACCCAGGAGCAGATTGTTCATTGTTATATTGCTGCATATTACATTAACACATTAATCAAAACGCTTTGCTGCAAAAATAGACATTATATTTAACGCTATATTTCCTTACGTGGAATATTGGGCTCTGGATTTGACTTTGATTTCGAGGGGTTGGTTAACAAACGCAGGAAGATCCACTCCATTGCTCGGAGTTGGCGCCAAGAAAATGGGAAAGTAATCACCATCAAGGCATGAATGGGGAGAGTATGAGTCCACTAAAGGTCAGGGGAGAGAAGAGAAAAAGGATTAAATGGATTGAATGTTAATATTCCAATCAGTGTTATTACTATATGCATAAGCATCTTACAATATTACATTTTTTCCTGAGATGAATATAAATCCATGCATATTTTTCTAGCTAATTGCAGAGAACATCAAGACTCTCTTGTGGATTAAATCAGTACATATGCTTTACAGACAGTTGCCAAGACTCAAAAATACATGACCTGAAATAATTCAATGTGACTGGAAATGTATTTACAATGAAATAGAAAAACTATTTAAAATATTTTGTTCAAACAGTCCTAGCCAAAATGTAGCCCTCCTTTTAAGTCCAATGAACAAGCATGACTGAATACATCCTATAAGTCAGACTACAAATAAAGAAAACGTTGCAATCGCTGCAAATAAAAAATGCTGCAAGAAGCTCCAAATACAATTTGGAGAATGTTTTCTAAATGCTGTGCATGTGTTGTCAAATTGGTGAAGATGTTTCTTTGTTTGCATCGTATTTGAAAATGCTGTGGGTTTCTCCTATTGTTAGTGTTTTGAGGCCGTTGTAGCGAGTTTGCCCCTGTCGGCCACCGTAGTAAATGCCTATATTAAAAAATGTAAATGTTTACCTCACCTTGAACACTAAACAGCAGAGAAAGCTTGCTCAAAGCAGCAATTGTAATTCTGTAATGATTAAATGCTATTGGAGCAGCTGTTGGAGCAGCTGTTGTTGTTGGTGCAGCTGTTGTTGTTGCAACTGTTGTTGGTGCAGCTGTTGTTGGTGCAGCTGTTGTTGTTGCAGCTGTTGTTGTTGGTGCAGCTGTTGTTGGTGCAGCTGTTGTTGTTGGTGCAGCTGTTGTTGGAGCAGCTGTTGTTGTTGCAACTGTTGTTGGTGCAGCTGTTGTTGTTGGTGCAGCTGTTGTTGGAGCAGCTGTTGTTGTTGGTGCAGCTGTTGTTGGTGCAGCTGTTGTTGTTGCAACTGTTGTTGGTGCAGCTGTTGTTGTTGGTGCAGCTGTTGTTGGTGCAGCTGTTGTTGTTGGTGCAGCTGTTGTTGGTGCAGCTGTTGTTGTTGCAACTGTTGTTGGTGCAGCTGTTGTTGGTGCAGCTGTTGTTGGAGCAGCTGTTGTTGTTGGTGCAGCTGTTGTTGTTGCAACTGTTGTTGTTGGAGCAGCTGTTGTTGTTGCAACTGTTGTTTGTGCAGCTGTTGTTGGAGCAGCTGTTGTTGTTGGTGCAGCTGTTGTTGTTGGTGCAGCTGTTGTTGTTGCAACTGTTGTTGGTGCAGCTGTTGTTGTTGGTGCAGCTGTTGTTGGAGCAGCTGTTGTTGTTGGTGCAGCTGTTGTTGGAGCAGCTGTTGTTGTTGGTGCAGCTGTTGTTGTTGCAACTGTTGTTGGTGCAGCTGTTGTTGTTGGAGCAGCTGTTGTTGTTGCAACTGTTGTTGTTGGAGCAGCTGTTGTTGTTGCAACTGTTGTTGGTGCAGCTGTTGTTGTTGACGCAGCTGTTGTTGGAGCAGCTGTTGTTGTTGGTGCAGCTGTTGTTGTTGCAACTGTTGTTGGTGCAGCTGTTGTTGTTGGTGCAGCTGTTGTTGGAGCAGCTGTTGTTGTTGGTGCAGCTGTTGTTGGAGCAGCTGTTGTTGTTGACGCAGCTGTTGTTGGAGCAGCTGTTGTTGTTGGTGCAGCTGTTGTTGTTGCAACTGTTGTTGGTGCAGCTGTTGTTGTTGGAGCAGCTGTTGTTGTAAAGCTGTTGTAGTGGTAAGGGTTATCGCGTTTATCCCTCCTCATTGTAAAGGGGAGCTTATCTGTGTAGGTTCCATCAGAGTAGTGCAGCGTAATGGGGTTGTTGGGAAAGTCCTCCACAACAAGTTCAATGGGTTGGTTTCCAGTTTGAGAACTGTATGTATACTGTAGGGTGCAGGAATTCTTAAAAAACAAAGAAAGACAGTTTTCACATTTACAGTGAAACAATTTCAGGATATCATTTGTTGTCTTTTATTATTATTGAAAGCTCTGTGGGGGCCCATCAGGAATTTACGTTTGAAAATCACATTTTAAGCTGAATTGCTCGATTGATTGTAATTCTTAACTTTGGCTGATTCCTTACCATATCGAAAGAGAAACCTTGAGGCAGGCGACATATCCCACACTCATATCCATTTGACATTGTTGGTACCCTGCATCTGACGTTGTCACCATCATGGTCAAACGTTGGGATTTTGAAGGATCGTGGGCAGCTCTTAGATACTCTGTAACATGTTAATCAAATGAATCAGTAAATGTCAATAAAGTCAAAAAATTCCGATATTTTTATCTGTGTACAGTATTGTACATTTGTTGTTGGATATTTCTTTGGAATTGGAATTATTTAATGATTTTATAGGTTTAATCATACAATACCGTTGATATTTTTGCAATGTTTGCGACATGGCTCTTTTGACAGATGCTGTATATTTCAGCTATTGATTGCTATGACACTTTTTACAGGTATTCATGGTGGAAGGACCACCACAAGGGTTGGACTATTGGATGGATTGTCAGGAAATTTAGATCACATATCCTTGGTGCCCAAAAAAAAAATGATGATCCGCTGAATTTTCCCTTCGCTCTAACGTCCAAGTTGATTGACAATGTTAACGTGATGTTTAGTGTTTTTAATGATAAAGATTATACAAGATAATTCACCATTGTCCTGTTGCGTATTCAAATATTTGCTCTTGAGGAATGCACTACTGCTTTTGTTCTGTTATGTCTTCTGTTTGTAGAATATTGGACCTAGCTACGGCTGCATTTCACTGCTGTCAAATTTGCTTCACAACATCCCTTATAATAATAACTTAAAGCAAAGATAATGTCTAAAAAAAGTTAGTTTGAGCTGAATTGTATTGTACGCATCCATGTGGCTGAACAAAACAGCATCCACCAATTCAAAATAATAATAATAATAATAATAATAATAATAAACTTTATTTATATCGCACCTTTCATGCACTAAGCAGCCCAAAGTGCTTTACAGAACAAGAATAAAACATAACAACAATATTAAATAAATAGAGAACAAGATAAAAAATCAACAGTGAACCTAATGAAATTCCCTTGAAGTAAAGCTGACAAGAAATGAAAGGTCACCTATGATGCAAAATCCAATTTCATACATAAACATGTGTCCCCTCTGTGTAAAGAGATTCTGAAAGTTTCAGGAAAAAAGATTTGCTCACTTTTTGTCCCGATCCATTTATATAAAACCTGTCTGAAAATGAGCTGACCAGATTTTGGCCACTTTATGATGTCATAAACACCTTATCACCTGAATCTCCTCCTAGAGCACCATTGTGTTATTTTTAACCAAGGGGCATGGGGAGTGGCTCCTTATTTTCATCTTAAGTAACAGACGGAGAATCAGCACTTTTGAAACAGGGCTGAAACAGAGGGGATTATGGGATGCTGCAATGATCTGTTTGGTGTTTCAGACAAACACTTCAGAGACATGTTTTGTATATATCTGAGACCTATAATATATTGATGAAAAACTGTATAATAGGGGACCTTTAAAATAGGTTAAAATAAAACAATAAAAAAAAAAAAAAGTTAATTAAAAGCAAAACAGAAAAAATACAGTAAAACATGGACAATGATACCAGTGAGAATTGAAAGTGCCCGCAAATTAAAAGCCATATTAAAAAGATAGGGACTATACCTGAGAAGAGGCAGCATGGCAGTGACGGGCATTCTGTTTGATTCTCTAGTATCAGACCGGGATCCCAGATCCACATGGCCCATCATTCTCCATTTGTTCATTCTGTTCGTCGCCCAGTGGCCCAGACCAAGTGAAGGAATGACCCAACCTGGGTATCTGTTTGAAGAAAATGTTGAATAATTAGCATTTTAGCGATATCTTCAACATTATCAGTGTGATGTTACTAGGTGTCACAATCAGATAACCTCTAAACCAGGGGTGCCCACACTTTTTCAGCTTGGGCGCTACTTTTAAAATGATGACCAAATGATCTACCTACAGGTGTCGCGAGCGCGCGGGGGGGGGGTGCTAGTGGACTAAACGGCGGATAAACTGTGGCGCGCTTAAACTAATTGTGCCGCATAAGTGCATAATTGTGTATTTTGCGCTTCAGATGAAGAGGTGAGGCACCCTCATAACTGCATGAACCCGTATGGTACAATACAACTCAGTACATTTTATACCCTTTCTTTAGTAGAATTGTATAAATTGGCTAACTAGGTAATCAGCTCGTCGGTGATTTGCAGCCCAGTGGTGAACTGCGTATTAGAATAGATCAAGTGGCAAATGCCATAGTTAGGATGGATGATAGGCTAACTTTAAAAAATATATATATATATGTATATATATTTTCTTTTCTTTTTTTCTTCTTTTTTTTTCAATGCCATGCGATCTACCCACACTACCTTTGCGATCGACGTATTGGGCACCCCTGCTCCAAACGATGTGTTTTTTAAATGTATAATAATGACAAAAGTGTACGATATTAATGTTTAATTTAGACTGATTTTGCTGAAGAAACACTACAAAAACTTGAAATCTTGCGAAGTATATTTGTCTAATATCTATTCAGAATATGTCTTTACACCTGATACTGTATATTACATAATAAATTCAGAAGTAACACTACAGTGAGATATCGGGTCTTGTTTTTAGACAATGCATTATCTTGTTAAGTCAAATAATCTTATTTTGAGTTGTATCTCAGATGAAACACATATTTATTTTTAGATATTTATTAGAAAATCACCAACTAACATCAGAAAACAGAACACTTTTGAGCGTTAGCGGCTTATATTGTAACAGCATTTCCTGATTCTGGTAAATTATAGTTCAAAATTAGTTCTCCCAGCTAATTATAAGATCTGATTTAACTAAATATCCCATCTTATTTCAAGTTCTCTTACCAAGCAAATGTACAATTGTTGTACTTATTTCAAGTGAAACCGCTTGTTTTCATTATTGTTTAACTTGTTTTTAGAGCAGCATTTTTTCCAGTGTATAAGTAATATCTCACCTGATCTCGAAGGGGATGTTGCTGTAGAGTTTTAGTTCTTTCTTTATGTCGGCTGTGCACCAGTTAATACCATAGGAACTCATATTGACATCATTGTTATGTTGGATACTGATATTGGTGATAGATCCACAGTTACCAATGCCACAGAAGTAGTCACTGTACAAGGGGTTACACATGTATGTTGACTGTTTGTTGCGGAGTTCCAGCTGTAAAGAATGCAGTAGTGATTAGATTATCAAAAGTCATTACATTGATGAAGAAAAATACCATGGCACATTCAGGTCAATAGCAATTGGTGACAACATATGTCAAGATTCAGATTCAAAGATTCAAAGGTTTTAATGTCATATGTACATAAACTACAGTGGAGAAATGGCAATGAAGATCTTACGACCCGAGCTCCTCCAATAAAATAAAATAAAAAATTGTGCAAGAAGTCTATATACGTAAATAGAATATGATATATACAAGAACAGAATGTAAAATTAAATATTGTACAGTAAGATGAAATGAAATATGGTTTATTATGGTGATAAATATTTAGATAAATAAGTAAATTACAAGATGACAAACAAATTCATGTTTATCGAGGCACTTAACACAGCTCAGAATTGTTCTTATTCTGGGTAGTCAGACAAGTGTATTGCCAGATAGTGCAGTCCAAGTCCATGCACAGTAGCAATGCATCATGAGTGCACAAAAATCCTCTAAAAATATTGTGGTCAAAATGGTCTTTTAAAAAATATATCTTCACCCTTACGGATATATTTATTTGAAAAACCCCACATATTTTCAACATTATATATAATATTTTTGACAACTTACCTTATAC